GCTAGATCTGGTGGTTTGGGGGTGGGGGGTCTGGTCAAGACAGGAGGTCACGCTGTAACGGTGCAGGCCTGCTTGCCACTGACACCCGTTCATGGACGGAGGTTCAGTCCTTGATCTTACACATGGGAACCGGGCCCGGGGGGAAAGGGGCTTTACCACAGGTCACACGCGCAGCCAGCAACCAGGCCCTGGAGATGTCGGCAACGCCCCACGTGGTTTCTTCCTACAAACCCAGGCCCACATGGAGCCTCTGTGTTGCTGAGCTCTCGGCAGCCCTTCGGCTGGTCTCCCTCCTGGCTCTTCATCCCAGAGCACGCTTCTCTGCTCAGGCCCCGTGCTTTTCTCCACTGCACCAGTGACCCTGCTTGACTTAGCTCCAGGTCCCATTTTGTGCCCCGTTGGACTCCACAGTGGCTGACAGTATAAGCAGTCACCACTGGCATTCACTTCCCCTTAAACCACCCTCTCTCTGTGGTGAGCTTTCCTACAGCTGGACCTGTCCCGCAGGCTGGCCCAGCGATTAAGACTCACTGCGCACCTCTGCTCAGCCCTGTGCCGGGCCCTACTGAGGATGGGGACAGTCCTGGCCCTGCCCTCCCAGGGCTCACAGGCCACCCCTCCAGTAACAGTCCAGAGTGAACAGGACTGGGGCAGGGGGCCCAAAAGGACCCCTGACTCTCCCTTGGGTGGGATGTTAGGGAGGGCTTCGTGGAGGAGGGGACACCTGAACTGAGGCCACGGGATGAACAGGGGTGAGGAAGCAGGAGAGATGATCCATGCTAGCATGGCCTGGTTCTGGAACTGCAGAGCGGACCCAGCTGGATCTGGTCGAGGATGGTGGTGGAGGATGCAGTCGGGCTGTAATGGTGTAGGCCCTGCCCACAGCTGGTCTCTCATAGACCCCAGTTCAAGTTCAGACTTGCTCTCTTGAGGGCCTGTGGCAGGTATAGGGTCAGGTTGAGCTTTTGAAAGACCTCACAGGCTGCTGTATGGAGGGTGGGTGGGAGGCCCAAGAGGGGGCTGGGGTGGAGCTACAGGGGAGGAGAGGGAAGAAGGCTGATTTTGAAGGCTTTCTGGCAGAGCAGGCAGAAGCCAATAGCTACGCAGACAGGAGGAGGAGGAGGAACAGCCTCTGTTTCTGGCGGGTCCTCTTGCTGTTCACCTTCTGCGCTCCCTTCAGCCTAGGTGCCCTTCCTACCCTGCCTCCAGCCTCCTCCCTGCCTGTCTACCTGCCATGCCTCCAGCCTCCCTCTCTTCATTACAGGAGTTCCCCTCCCCCATTCTTTATAGGCACCCACCTCTGCTCTCCATTAGCCTCTCAAGGATTGGGGGGCCTCTCTTCTAGCTCAATAAAGACTTCCTGGTTGACAGACTCACCTGGCAAGTGGTGTTTGGGGCAGAAGGGGTTCAGAAGCAGTTCCCAGAGTCTCCCCAGTAGCAGTGGATCTGAGCACCACTGATCTCACTGATTAGGGGTCCCACAGGGCGCTCCTGAGGGGCCTGCCCTCGCAGGGTGCTTGTGCTGTACCAGGCCCCCTCGGGCCCTTCCTGGCACTCATCATATGCCCAGACTTCCTCCTCTCGCCCTTCCCTCGTGACTGTGTGAACTGTGACCTCCACATCCCCCCAGGCCTGGTAGCGCCCAAGCACCAGCGTGAGCCTCGTGCACTGGGTTGAGAGCAGGCAGTCTCTTGACCAGCCTGCTGGTGGAGACCATGGCTCCTTTCCCATGAGAGATTGCTTATGGAAGTCACAGCTGCTTCCTTCCAGTAGGAGTGGAAGTGCCATGCCATCCCAGTCAAGCCACAGTGGGTCCCTGGGGATAGGCAACATATCTTTCTCCCCTCACCCTTTCTGGGCATTGTCCTCCAAGAGAGAGGACCAACATCTTACCATGGCCCAGTGGGGCTTCCAGGAGATGGACGTGTCCTCTCCCTTAGACCAAGCTCCCAGGCTTTCCAAGGGTCAAATCACAGTATCCGCTTCTGCTGGGTGGGTGGGGAATCTGTCTTGCCTGGAGCTTCAGGGAGTTGGGGCTGGGTCTCCCCTCACACGGGCAGATCACAGGGCTGAGGCTCTTTAAGGGGGTGGTGGGGCTCCCACTTCTCAGGGGCTGCTGGGCAAAGGGGACAGGCCCCCTCTCCGCCTCCTCGCAGCCACCAACCTGTGCTTTGCGGAGCGGAACGTGTACACGTCGGAGGTGCTGGCCGTGGTGATGCAGCAGCTGATGGAGCAGAGTCCACTGCCCATGTTGCTCATGAGGACCGTCATCCAGTCCTTGACTATGTACCCCCGCCTGGGGGGCTTCGTCATGAACATCCTGTCCCGGCTCATCATGAAGCAGGTAACCCGCCCCGGCCACCCTGGTCTCCCAGGCAGGGGGCTGCCGCAGGACGCGCTGCCAATAGACTTGAGGCAGAACCCCAGGCTTTTCCAGCCGGTTTGGCCCCGTCCCAAGGGAGCCCTCGTGCAGAGAACAAGCTTTACCATGACTGGCAGAGTGCTGGATCAATGCAGCCCTCTAGAGGTCACTGCGGCAGACAGCTGTAGGGTGGCAAGGTGACGGGTGAGGCTGTTGGGTGGTAGGACCACACTGAGAGGTGCATGTCCCAGGGGGTGTGGCTGCCCCTTCAGAGTCAAGGTGGCAGTCATTTAGTTGTGTGCAGTTCTGCAACTGCACAGACTGCAGCCCACCAGGCCCCTCCATCCATGGGATTCCCCAGGCAAGAACACTGGAGTGGGTAGCCATTCCCTTCTCCAAGGGATCTTCCTGACCCAGGGATCTGCCACACTGCAGGTGGGTTCTTTACCATCTGAGTCACCAGGGCTGCCCCTTGCCCCCCATCATTTGGTACTTAGTCGGACAAGAGGCATCTTGAGCTGAAAGATGGCCTCATTTTTCAAGAGAAGTTAGAAATGTTTTATGAAACAAATTAAAAAAGCCTCTATCCACAAGCCTTCAGACTGGATTCAGACCACAGATTGCCACTTTGCAACATCTGAGTTAGAGGTTAAGTGCAGATGCAGGCAGGTCCGGGGGTCAGATGTCGCTTCTGCCCTTGGTACCTGTGTGACCCGGGACGAGTCCCGCACTTCCCCGGGCTTCCTAAGTTTAGCAGGGCTAACGTCACCCTCTAGAGGCGGCGGTGAGAATGCAGCGAGGCATGGCCTTCCCTGAGGTCTTTGTCCCAACTTCTGGGGCAGCTGGCTGCCTGCAGGCCCCCTCACGACTGCTCCCTCCCTTCCTGTTCCAGGTGTGGAAGTATCCCAAGGTGTGGGAGGGCTTCATCAAGTGCTGTCAGCGCACCAAGCCCCAGAGCTTCCAGGTCATCCTGCAGCTCCCACCCCAGCAGCTGGGGGCCGTCTTTGACAAGTGCCCAGAGCTCCGGGAGCCCCTGCTGGCCCACGTTCGCTCCTTCACCCCCCACCAGGTACCCCTGGGTGTGGGGTGGGTGGCCCCATGGGTCCAGCCCTGGGGGACCGGGGTGGGGCCGAGGGCAGCCCGGCAGTGTCACGAAGGTCCTGGGGTCTGGAGAGTCAAGGACACCGAGGGTCTGAGTGGGACTTGGGGAGGGGGTGTCTCCGGGTCAGAGCTCTCCATAGCGCCCCCATCTGCTTTTCCCCCAGCAAGCACACATCCCCAACTCCATCATGGCCATCCTGGAGGCCAGCGGCAAGCAGGAGCCAGAGACTAAGGAAGCACCTTCCGGGCCCCTGGAAGAGGTGAGGGTCCCCCGCGCCCCTCCTCCTACCCACACCAGCCATTTCTACGGGGAGGGGCTGGGGCTGGGGAGACGGCAGCCCCTTACTCCCAGTGCTCTCTCTGCTGTCTGCCTCAGGGTGGTTTCCATCTTTTCCCCACCATCCCCTTGAGAGCAGCCTGGGTCTTGGGTCCCAGCTGTCCTGAGGTTTTGTGTGTTGCTCCGCACCCCCAGGATGACTTAGAGCCTCTGGCCCTGGCACCACCTCCGGCCCCCCGACCCCCTCAAGATCTCATTGGCCTGCGGCTGGCCCAGGAGAAGGCCTTAAAGCGGCAACTGGAGGAGGAACAGAAGCTGAAGCCCGGGGGACTGGGAGCCCCCTCCTCGTCCTCGTCCTCGTCCTCGTCCTCGGCGCGGCCAGGCCCCGTCCAGCCGGAGGAAGCCATTGATTTCCGGGAGGAGGGGCCTGAGTGCGAGACCCCAGCCATCTTCATCAGCATGGACGATGACTCGGGGCTGACTGAGGCCGCACTGCTGGACTCTAGTCTCGAGGGACCCCTACCTAAGGTAGGGATGACTGCCCCAGAGCAACAGAGGATGAGAAAAGTCAGGGCCCGGGGTTAAGTGTGTGTGCCCAGTGTCCAAGGCAGGGAGGGGGCGGGAAGGGTAGGGCCTGAAGAAGTAGTGGAGGTGCAACCACGCTGTCTTTGACCTGTCCCCCCTTCTGTCACCAGGAAACTGCAGCAGGTGGATTGCTTTCAAAGGAGGAGCGGAGCCCCCAGCCCCTCACAGCGGCTGGAGAGGACACAGTGCAGACTCCCAGCCCTGCCGCTGAGGAAGCAGGCGAACCGGAGACCAAGGGGAACAGCTGACGGAGCTTGTTGGGGGGCAGGGGAGTGGGACTGGGAGCTCAGGGAGGCCGGGGAGGGGCTTGGCCGGATGGTGCTTTGCCTTTAAAAATTAAAAACGAAAAAAAGATCGCCGGTCTGGGGTATGGGTGTCGTCTCTGGTACCTGCTTCCGTGTCAGCTGTGGGATTGTGCAGAAGCTGCTGGGCGCAGGAGGCCCCCCAACCCGCCCGAAGGCTGCAAGCCCCTCTGGCACGGGGCTGCGCCTGCGCAGAAAGCAGCTTCTTGGCCGCGCATCCCCGCGCGCCCTGTCCTGGTAACGGCCCACCCCCTCCGTCCCTAGCAACCGGCGCCGCTAGCCCAGCGGCTGCTGAGTGCACACAACACGGGCGACTGGTCTGGCCTGCCTATCTGCAAGCCTTCTTCCTGGAAGTCTGCGATCCCTTTGAACTATGGGGGACCCTCCACCTGACCCCGAGCCCCCTTCTCAGCCGACCTCCAGCCGTAGGAGCTCTCAGGTCTCCGAGCGGCGGCGCACCAGGCCCTCGGTCGCGCCCCTGGTCCACGAGGAGCTGCAACAGATACCGCTTGACCCCCAGATCCTGCGCGGCAGTCGGGAGGCCCTGTCGAGCCAGAGCAATCTCCGCGGCTGGCCACAGAGCACCAGCCTGACCCCAAACGAGAACCTGGTTTTCCAAGCTGAGGACTCGTACGTGAACCCGGGCTTTCCTGCAGAGGTGCAGCGCCAAGCTTACCTGAGCGAGGGCAGGCTCCAGGCCAGCCAAAACGCCAGCCTAATGCAGCAGCTACAGCAGGGTGAAGGCAACCTATTTCAGCAACTGGAGTCTGCCTACCCGGGGCCCCCGGCAGACCTCCTGGGCCAGTTCACCCTGTACCAGAGAGAAGACCTGCCGTTCAGCCAGGGCACAGAGCATGGGCCCTACATGACGGATGACCCCACTCTCCAATTCTCGCCCTCTGAGCTGGGCTTCATGTCCTTCAATATGGAGTTGCCTGAGCCAGAACCTCGCGAGCTGGCCGTGCAGAATGCCAAGGCCTACCTGCTGCAGACCAGCATCAATAGCGACCTCAGCCTGTGAGAGAGGGCCCCGGGAGTGGGGCGAGGGAGGGACCAGGCAGGGAGACACCTCAGCCAAGGCCCCACCTCCTCGTCTAGACGAGATTGCTCTTCACTGAGAACCAGCGACCACTCTGGGGGCATCGAACTCAGACTGGGAGTCAGGGAATAAATAACCACATTAGTTAGCATTTACTTACCAGACTGTGCCAGCACTTCACAGGTTAACAGCTGGTTCTTGTGGCTGAGCTTAGCACATCTGTTCCAATTTTGAAAGAAAAGTGAAAGTCACTCAGTCCGGTCGGAGACTTTGCGACCCCCATGGATTGTAGCCTGCCAGGCTCCTCTGTCTATGGAATTCTCTAGGCAAGAATATTGGAGTAGCAAGCCGTTCCCTTCTCCAGGGGATCTTCCCAGCCCAGGGATTGAACCCAGGTCTCCTGCATTTCAGGTGGGTTCTTTACCATCTGAGCCACAGGGAGGGAAACTCAGACACAGAGAAATTAGGTCCCATGTCCAAAATAACACAGCTTAGGTATGGTAGATCCAGGATTTCAGCACAAGTGATTGGGCTCCTGAGGCCCTGTTATCCATTAACACTTCCTGCCTGAGAAAGGGACTTGCCAAGGCCATGTATATGCAGTCATAGCCCCCTGTCACATCCTCATGAAGCTGACACTCAAGTGGGAGAATGGACAATAAATGTAAGATGATAACCGCTAAGGTGAGCAATAGGGCAGAGTGAGCGGGATGGGAGGGGATGTTAAATAGCACGAGGTCAGGGAAGGAAGTTACATTTGATCAGGAACCTGAAAGAGGTGAGAGAGAGCACCATGTGGGTAAACTGGAGGGAAAATTGTCCAGACATAGGACACAGTGAGCTTAAAGGCTTGGGAGCTTGCTATGTTTGAGGAACAGCAAGGAGGCTGGTATAACTGGAACCAAGGGAGGAAGCAGGAGAAGGAGAAGAGTTGGGAGAAGTAGCAGGTCTTGCTCAAGCACAAAGCTGACTCCCATTCCGCCCATGCTCAGAGCCTGCCATGTCTCACCAGTGCCTTCAGAAGAAGGGTCATGCTTCTCATAACAGCCTTCAAGGTCCTATGTAATTCAACCCCTTCTCCCTCTCCAAATGTCACCTCTAGTCAGCTTCTACCTCAGATCCTAGAATCTAGTCAAAATTACCTCAAAATAAATACATAAATAACCCACAGCTCTTCCCCAATAGCACCCAGCCCTTGGAAGTTTCAAGGTCCCTTAATGGGTCTTTTCTCTTTCTTTTCTGTTTTCTTTGGTCATGCCACATGGCTTGCAGAATATCAGTTCCCTGACTGGGGATTGAGCCTGGGCCATAGCAACGAAAGCCTGAATTCCAACCAGTAGGCTACCAGTGAGCGCCCTCAAGTCCCCTATTGAAAAGCTCTCGCTCCTTCTTACCCTTCCCACATCAATGATGGCTCTCAACCACACCCAGCACTGCTGCCAAATGGCTACACACTGAAGAGGCTTAGACCAACATGATTTGAAATTAGTCCAAGTGAAAGTAAAGGTGGAGTTGCTCAGTCATGTCTGACTCTTTGTGACTCTACGGACTGTAGCCCCCCCAGGCTCCTCTGTCCATGGGATTTTCCAGGCAAGAATACTGGAGTGGGTTGCCATTTCCTTCTCCAGGGGATCCTCCCAACCCAGGGATTGAACTCGGGTCTCCCACATTGCAGACAGACTCTTTACCGTCTGAGCCACCAGGTGGCTCAGAAATTAGGCCAACTTGGTTTTCAATCCTGACTGTGCTACCATGACCTCACATTTTCTAAGCTTCAGTTTCTTCATCCGGGGAGTGAGGATCATAATTTTTTCTCAAGTGTATGTGGTGAGAATTCAACATTGCTCTCAAGTGCCCAGTATAGTACCTGACCCAGGTGAATGGAAGTCATGCTGATATTGTTAACACTCCAGTCTCCTTTCCTACCTCAACCCCTCATCCTCACTCTGCTCCAGCCACAATGACCTCAATATTTCTCCAACATGCCAGGCACACCCTCAGCTCAAGGTCTTTACACTCCATTCTCAATCATGTCATCTGCAAACCATGGTAGTTTTGCTTCTTCCTTTCTAAAATTTTACATTTTCTTTTTCTTTTTTTTTGACAGTGGAATACAGTTTATTATGCCAATGGGTTCAAGGGGAATCAGTTCCCAACAAGGACCCTGATGTTTCTGAGAGGCCCAGTTTTATACCCCCTACTACATGACTGACTACGTGTTAGCAACCTCTTTGTTGTATATGATTGAGTTGTAACAACAAGTAGGTGCTAGGAGAACAAACAATTAAGGTTAAAGTTGGGGACAATAATTATACATCAATGGGGGATGTTTCCATGGTTAATCTAAGAGGGGCAGCTTGACCTCAACTATAATCTCTGTCATCTGTGGGGAGGGATGTCTCCAGGAGACCTGGTTTTCACTAGCAATGGTTTCCTCACTCTTGGTCAGGACTCAGGCCCAGTTCACATCCAGTCTTTAAGATGGATGACAGGCTTCTAGATAGAGTCTCTCTTGCTTTCCTCACACTGGCCCCAACAGTTCTTAACAATGCTTATATTACTCTTAAAAGTGTCATGAAACATTAAACATCTAACCATCATCTTAAGCTATCTTTTTTCCTGGCAAATCTGTGACAGAGATAACATCAGCTCTTTTAGTAAACCAAGGTGGAATGAAAGTTGCATGTCTGCATTATTTTTAACATTGATAACTCTAAAGAATGCCTGTTTTAATCAGGCCAACCGACTTGTTTGTTTTCTCCCAAATTATCCTAGATCACATGAACTTGAATAACATTTGGCTTAGTTTCTATATTCCTCAGACTATATTAATTTATGCAAATACTTTACTCTCCTTTAGTCAATTAAATAGAGCTCTTTATATGGGCTTTCCAGGTGGATCAGTGGTAAAGAATCCACCTGCCAATTGTTATGCCCAATGTCTGAATCCCCGAGTGGGAAGAGAGAAGGCTTCCAAGACAATGCAACTCGCAAAAAAAGGGAAGTTTATTGCTGACTCGAGTCAGGGCTCCTGCTGCGCGTCCAACGCAGTGGTGCGGGGTCAGAGAGCGCTGAGCTCAAGCTGTTACGCAATTTATAAGGTGTGCATAAGCAGTTGGTAGCTGACTTAAGCGGATTGGTTACATGTTTGCAAAGTAATCTCATTGGCCCAAACCTTCGCGGGCTTTTTTCAAACTTGGGCGTTCGCGGGCTTTTCAGCTTTCCCCTGATAGGTTCCCTTTTTCTTGCTAGGTGCATGTTGATTGGCTGGCTCCAGGTTACCTGATGGGAGCGGGGAATCCCACCATTTCACGGGAAACCGAAACCCAGGTCCGGGCCGCCTGCCAGCCCCAGCAGCCCCACATTCCCCCCGTCTTTGTTTCTATGGAAGGCCCAATCATGGGTCTTTTATATCATCTGTGGGGACAGTCGAATATTGATATCTGAGTAACATTAGGTGGACGGACAGGCAGTGTGTTTTTCTTAACAACTCCCCCTTGAGAGACTTCATACTCAAGATGCTTTTTGGGATTTGGGGCGGAGGTCTCTTTCTTCTGTAACTTCTTCCTGCTGTGCCTGGGCGTAGGCCTGCCTAGCAGAGCAGAAGTCTCTCTATACCTGACCTAAGTTGGGGTGTTTTATATCTGAAACCAGCATTTACTCTTGTAATAACAGCAACTTAGTTTGAAACTGTTGGCGCCTCTCAGAGATAAAATAGATAGGGGCCAAACAGGAGACCTAACAGGATGGTCATCACTGGTCCCCAGAAACAGGAGGCAACATTTGAGGTGATTGGCTGGTGGTCAAGCAACAGAGCTGTGTTCTAGGAATCTTGTGTTTAGTCTGAAGTTACCATCTTCCACCTGGGTGGGGGCTCCAGTTCTGTAGAAGAACTCAAAAGACATTGTTATGCATATTTCTTTGAGTAGGAACCAGGACCTGTCTCAAGGCTGTACCACCATTTGATTGTTCCCCCTCTGTTTTTGTATTTCTTCCCTTCTCTGATTAGCAATTGTTTGAATCCACCCCTTGGAACTCAGGAATACTTCCAATTCAGTGTCCCTTCTCCAAGCTGAGGCAGTCCTATGCCCCATTTTGACAGAAAGTTATCACAGTCATAGTTGCCCTATTCTCTAAATTAAAACTGAGTAGGACTCTGTGGGGTGGCGACTCTGGAGTACAGATCTGTTGTACTGTAAAATATAGGCTTATTCAGCCTCTTTGACCTTCCCTGAGTTCCAAGTCCTAGATCTGAGCCTTGTATGATTAAAATCTCAATCCCTTGGTCTGCCATTTTGTTGTAACCTACCCAGTTAGTAGTAGCTGGAGGAGGGATAACTGGAATTTTAATAGACAAAATAAATCTCTTTCTTTTTAGAAGAACAGGCCTGAAACCCAGTCTGGAACTGGCACTTCGGGCAGACTTTTAGCCAGGTGGCCAGTTACCTAGTTTTATAAAAAGTAAGGTATAAGTTACTATCTTTTAGCAGACATTGTTTTGAGAATGGTGGCGTCTAAGCCTGACACAACTCAGAAAACTCAAGTGTTTAGCAATACAATGTCTAATCTGAAATTACACCCATCGTAACATCTGTTTATTTTTCAGGATGTCTGAACCATAGCTGAGTACTCTATTTTGACTTAATTGTAAAAATTTTTTTAATAGCCAAAGCAGATGGCACCATTAATGATGTCAGTGTTTCTCTAGGTATGAGAAGATGCAAGAATTGGGATCATAAAATCTCTTGAAAAGATCTAACTATCTGAAGGCCTGTTTTGCCAGTTTTCCCCAGAGCACAGAACCCCTCATTCTTGATCTTCACCCTGAACTCCTTTCAGGGCCGTTGAAAGTCAGCAGTTGCAGTGGCCATGATTTAATCTCCGTAGATGTAGATGGCAAGTGTCAGTCTTCAATTGGCAGAGCCCCTTTCTGCTCACAAACTTGACCACGACTTTGAGGGGGGCATTTCATGACCAT